AAAGTTATTGTGGAGAGCTGAAAGGTCTACAAAAATAACACCTCTGGCAACATCAGAACTACACAGACTATGAGATTGTGCAAATTTTTCATCAAGCTAGTTGCAACTTTTTCCTTCAACAAATATCTCCATATAGAAGTGTTTATGTGGAGCCACTTTTCCATGAAGGCATCCTAAAACCACGCTAACAAATCACCAAACCAACACGTCACCTCTCTCATGGAGCACTGTGTCTGCACGGTTGTTTTGTGGCAGAACAGCACATCTACAGCTCATACTGACACCTATATTCAAAATTCATTTGATTTGTTGTAAAAAACAGCTTGTACATGGTTGAGACTGTCAAACTCCTCATGCACACACACAGTTTGTTCACAGCCTGGTATCACACCACTGGAAGAGAAGAAACAAAGTAGACACGTCACTTCATCATTGTGCTTTTAGCCACAAAAAATGCAATCTCTTGAAGATCCCAATTATAATACAAGCCCTAGCTCATCTCCTTTGAGCATTCGGCACATTGCTGGTCTTTTCCAGAGGGCTCTCAGACTAAGGAAGCATAACTTTACCTGAAATTAGATCTAAGAGCTTGCAATTTTAGGCAAACCTCTTACTAAATGTGGCTCTCATCTTGAAAGCTAATAACTATAACAGAACTGAGTCACAAGGTATTTTATTCTTTCAACCAAAATGCTTGATTTGCTTCCATTTGTCATGCGTTTATTTTTAAAAGAAAAAAAGACAAAGCATGCAGTACGTGAAATTAACACAGCCACGATGGCTCTTAAGAGTTAAGCATGCAAAAATGCTTAAGTCACTGTTCATAAGCTTGGCAGAAGAGCCCACTGTCAGCTCCTATGTAGTAACAAGGGACCTCAAGCCCGCCCACACCATGCTGCCAAACAGCCACTACAGGTTCCATATGTTTTTGGTTGCTGATGGCTAATGCATCAGGCCTACTTTCTTTCCTCTCCAACATACAAAGGGGGAAGGGAGGGCTGGGTGGGGGGAGTATTAAACACGATGACTTACTTTCTGATCAAAAGAAACACTGAGTTTTGATAACTGATATGTTTAGCCAGTTCAGACAATTCGTGTAATTGCTTTGTAGTGAAACATACAGCATGACTACAAGGTACAGCAATTTTAGTAAGAGGGCTCTGTTAAAAGATGACATTAATAGAAATCTTCTGAAATGCCTATTATTAGGCAGTGATGATCTCACGCTGACAGTACTGAAGTGCCCTTTCAATTTGTAATAAATAAATAAATATCAGATGACAGCTTTTTAACTCCAAAAGAATGGCATTGAACATGAGGAAATGCTATTCTAAAACTTGCTGAAATAAATAAACAGCAGAAGCAGAAATGTGTTACCTTTATTGTATTCCATGGAAGCCAAGCAAAATTTCAAGCCCTGATCCATTGCCCTTAATATTAATATAAACAAGCTCAATCTCCAAAGCAGCAATGTCCCTGCCCACCTCCAAGCCATAGACTAGCTTCTACTTGCAGGACTAACAGGCAAGTTACGCAGTTGCAGACTGAGCTAGGCAATGCAAACCAAGACGACAACAGTTCTCTTCCCAGTCCTAGATTATTTTCAGACACAAAAGCTCTCACCCAACTCCTCACATCACAGCTCAAACACCCATGGTGGCACAGGGGAAGGGCACAACCATGGCTGAGAACACAGGGAAAAAGAAAATAAGAAATCAGGGCTCTTCCAAATGTTCTTACTTGCATCACCTTAATGTTACCACGGAACAATCCTTTACACACTGAGTATTTCACAATCTTGTTATTTTGCTTGTTATTGAGAGACTCAAATTTAGTAGGACTCTTCAGGTGATGAAAACCATCAAAATGCTGAAAATATGACAAACTTAAGGCAAAGTACTACGAGCCATCATAAAGTGCAAAACAGGGAAATGGGAGACTCCCAGTGTGATGCTGCACAGAGATCCATCTTGAACATACAACTAAAGAACTGCATTGTTTTTTATCATTAAGGCCAATATGTGAAAGTTTTTCAGGTATGCCAACTGTCCATAGAGAGGGAGGTTGATTAGAGGTGATAGGGCAAGGACCATGAACAAAACCAGAAAACCTCCGCTGAAATGAAACTGAAAAACTTCCTAAAAAAGGAAAGGTTTAGGGAGCTTGATCAGATTCATCTAAGCTGAAATTAGTGTATAAATTAACTACCCATTTAAGCCAGGATCAGAAATGTGTTACTATAAGGATGTACAGGTTTAGAAAAAAAAGAGTGCTGCTTTCAATGCTTCAAGATGAATTTATACAAAGTCAAAATAAAAGCTGGGCAAATGTTTTCTAGCAGTGTAATCTGTTGGGCAGCATTCCAATAATCATGAGAGTTTTTCCATCAGTAGAATCTTCAGGATCAGAGGTTTTTTCTTTATTTAAGTATAGCTACTGAACACAGAGGTAATTATTCCAAGTAAGTCTTACTGCCTCCAGACAGAACAGCCACATCAGTCTCTCCAGCTTTGAATTATTCCCATGTCTGTACACAGCAACTGCCAGAGGAGAGAAGTCATAAAACAATACATCTCCCTCTGACATGAAGAACCGATAAGAGAAGGTACAGTGCTATTACACAGGACTACTACTCCCCTACACTCATTTAATAAGGTTTGTAGGTATTTTGTTGTACACTTCATGAATACAGACATCAAAATAAATGGAATTCGGCAAAGCCAATCTAACAAACAGAAACAAATCTGGTGTCAACAACAACAAAAGAAAGCAAAAAAAAAAAGCCAAACCTAGATGAAGGAAACAATTCTACACTGTGGAAGGAAATATCTTGACTATTGCTGTTTGCTGCTTAGTAGCAGCACAAAAACAGATCACAATTCAAATGATAGAATTATAAGATTTGTTTGATAGTGCCAAATAGGTGAAGAGAAAGTGTAAGAATCTGATCGAGTTCCAGACATGTCAGGGGACAGTCCAACCTTTGGAAACAGCAGCAGCCTCTCCACAAGCCTAATCCTCCCTCTGCTGTGCCAAGGCAATTATTTAACACACTCACAGAAAATATTTGAAATACAGAGTGAAAATGGCTACATCACAGCTACGTCTCGGAACCACCAATTTTGTTTTTCACTTACTGTGCCTAAGTTGTGTCAGCATACAAGTTCTAGGATCACTTAATTTCATCATGACAAGTTCTTTTGTCTTTATAATTTATTAAAGCTTCAGTTCATTAACACTGTACTAGTAATGCGACAGCAATCTAGAGGAGTTCATTATTTGCTAAGAATGATACATACTGGCTAACTACAAATCTTGGATTGCTTTGGTGTTTCCCATGCATCCCGCATACTAAGTATTAACACACACCCAGCTGGAGTCCTACACCTACTACAGGGGTTCAAATCACAAGATTATGAATAGGAAATACAAGTAACTTCACGGATATTAATGAAAATTTTCAATTCCTGTAAGTTCCTTAGTGAAGAATTAGAATTCTCAGCCTAAAGGAGATACAGTCAAGTCCATTAGACAGCTATATCATTAGGCAGAATAAAATAAATACAGAACAGAATTGTTATTTAGCTACAGGTTGCTGCTGTACCCTCCGGCCAGCTGAGCATGCTCACTGAAGGTCCATCACTTCATTTGCAAGTACTGCTGGCAGTTTCACTTCGACCTCCTTTCACAGGCAAATTTATCAAGACCGATCTGGTTCTAGAAGTACCTCAATGCTTAATCACAGAATACCCCAAGCAGGAAGAGACCCACAAGGATCATCAGTCAAATCTGACTCCTGGATCTACACAGGACTAAACCCAAACTAAGCCCTATTTGTGAAAGCATTGAACTCCAGCAGCTTGGAGACCCCACGCAAAAGTTGGGCCTTCAAATTACACAACTGTGAGCATTTCTTGACCCTGAGTTTCTTTTTTTTTGTTTGTTTTAGTTCTACCTGGGAATTAGTCTTATGACATGTCTCAGTAACATAACCCTTAATATTCAGGGTATGAAGAAGGGGTATTTGTTATAACTGCACCTGATAGCGTCAGCTAAGTCTGGAAAGATATTCATTTGTAATTAAGACTTCTCCGAGAACAGCAATATTTCCAAACCCTTAACTCACAGAGAGAGCAAGACAAATAGAGTTTCACAAAACTGAAAATTTTGAATCATTTCAAAGAATGAGCACAAAACAACCCAATGAAGTATGGCAAGTATATTAGAGTATGCAGAGGAGATTAAGAATACTTGGCTTCAATAGGAAGTAATTAAGTGTCTAGAAAGTTACTAAAATAACTATTTGTACTACAATTATTCCATAAACTAAACAAGTGTACCATGTTGTACCATGGAACACAGTAAGTTGAACAGTTCCGGAGAAGAAAGGCTAAAAACAGACAGCATGAGGGGATACATTTCCAAAGCATGTGCATATATGATGAAAGCTGCAGACCACTGAAAATTAGGCTCTGTTTTGGCTCTTAATTTCTGCAGATATTTAATTACCCTTTCATCAGTTTCACTCCCTTGCTCTCCATATCACAGTATGGTACAATGAAAGCAAAATTAAGAGGAACAGAAATGCAAATTCTCGTTCTAGTAATTTTGTTTGCAACTGACCTCATAAAATGCAGAAGCGAGAGTTGCAACCTGGTTTTCAATTATTTATACCTTGCTGCCTTTCTAATTTCACATTTTCCATTCAATTTTAGCGATTTCTCCTTCATATCCATATTCAATTTTTAGACAAAAACCAACAGTTGCCAAGGCACTATGTTAGACACAAGCATTCATGCCACCAACTGCCTTTGTGTTTACTCCTGCAGCACGGTCCAATTACTGGCTCATGTTTGCACTCTATTTTGAGTGAACACTAACTTTTGCAACCTCTTAAAATTCTTTTGAGCATGTAAAATCCTCAAATATCCTTCAAATGGAAGAATTATGATGAGAAAAGAGTTTTAGAATAGGTGTTTTCATACATGATTTTCATTCACCTTAAAGCCAAGACAGGATTAGTTGAGTAGAAACATTTTCATGAAGGCATATTTTCCATCTGGCCTCAAGACTCCATGATATTCTCTGCAAAAGAACATATCACATTTCATAATACTGAAATAGAAATCCTACTATTTACAACAACGTAACTTCTAAATAGAGATAGAAGATGCATTTTCCTGACCATGCAGAAGCAAAGTAGAATTTACTTTTAAACACGCAGCTACCTTAGAGGTATTTCATTCATTTAAAGAAACAGAGTAAGCACCTACTGTCTAAAGTGTGAATAACCTGTGCTCCCCAATCCAGCACAGTCTGAGCCAAGTAGTAACAGGTTCACATGCAGGCAGCTTGTGGTTGGTTCTGTGCTATTATAGAACACTGGACAGTTGATTTTCCTGTGCTCTGCTTATCCATCAATAGTATAATAGTATTCTTACCACAATGAAGCCTGATACCTTGATTATTTCCATTTTTCAACTATTTCCCATTAGCAATCCATTATTCATATAAATCCATACAGAGTCCTCTCCTCCTTTCAGTGAAATGCAAATGTGTCAATGTATTCCTTCTCTGAGCAAAATAGGATAGCTCAGTACATATTTAAATAGTTTCTGTATATATCACAGTCATTCAGTACTAATCATAGCTTACTATAAAGATTCTACAGATAACTCCATTAATAACTCTTTCCACAATACAGAAAATATAAAACAAGAAAGAATCAATAGTAACTCAAGTTGTGCTGGTGTAATTTCCCACAAACACAATCATATTATGGCAAAAAAGAAGTAATCATGGGGAAAAAAAAACACACAAAGAAACAACAACAACAACTCCTATGTGCTGCAGCTCTTTCCAAGACCCCCTGTTGACATTCCCAATGCAGAATCCAAATGTTCCTCCAGCATTCCCCTTCGCTTTGCAGGACTGCAGCCAGATAAACACACTGAACTTGCAGCAGCACGGTTCACCTCTACAAACACCACACTTCCACTTAAGTTTTACTCAGTAAATCTAATGCTGCAGCAGCTATGTCAAAACAAATCTCTTTGAGCACACAAGAAGGGAGGGAAGAGAAGGCAGAGGATGAACAGGCTTTTCCATATTTTCCTATGTATGTTTTCAGAAGTCTGACCAAATTCACTTTTAGCCAATGAGGAGAATGGAAGTTGTAAAACAAAGTGTAAAAAAAGACATAATTGAATCTTAAATCTGACTTAAACCCACAATTGATAATACTTAATCTACTCCGGCTTCAATTGCTATTATATTTGCCTTTCAGTTAATCCTGTAGTGTTACAGTCCATAAAATTGGAGAAAATAACAGAAATATAGCTCCTATATGATTTAGGTTAGAAATCTGTTACAGAAAGGTCAAATAATTTGTGTCATGAAGGGCTGAGAAGTCACCTGTACCAACACCTCACTTAAAATAGGAGTAAGATCAACACTAGCAGGATCCTCAGAGCCTCATAAACTCAAAAAAAAAAAAAAAAAGAATAAATTGGCAACGAAATGCAGTAAAACAGAAAAAAAATAAAATGAACTTTGAATGATTTCCAAAGTACAAGCATTTTCTTGACAGTTTTAAGTACAATATTGCACTACTCTTGCTCAAAACACCATCTTCAAGCTGTAACTGCCATGTAGGTAGGTGGGCAAGATAAAAAACCCACCTTCACCGCTCTTTCCCTGGACCACCTACAGACTTATCTGCTCACATGTCTCAGATAAAAGCTTTGTATTAAAACATTTTATCTGTCTTACTGTTTTACTGCTCAGAAGATGAACTATGAGACTGAATCCAACTTTCTACTCAGTTCTGGAGATAGCAACGCTCCATCCAACTCGTAAGACTTTAGGGTTTAGACATCAGTAGTAGATATTGAATATATGAGGTAAGCATTTCAAAAAGGCATTAACACTAGGGCTAACATGTATGTATCAGGGGGAAAACGGTCACTAAGTTATGATACTATTCAGTCATGATCCACAGCTATAGAAAGAAGCTGATGGTTCAGTTCTTGGAAATTCAAATCTGCACACTTAGAGGAGTCTTTCAGTTCTAAGCATCTACCAGGAAGAAAAATACTAAATTTAAAGCAAACAATAAAAAAATAAAAATAATCAATCTCAAAAACTGTTTTACTATTGTGAGGAATAAGTGCTGTGGCAAATTCAGCAGATAGATACAGGATGCTCGTTTGCTTTTGCTGCTAAAAACCAGAGAAAATAAGAACTCATCCCACAAAGGGTGAACAGGTTGGAATTTCATCCGCTCTTCCGCATTTCGACATTCACAACATCATTTAAAACATGCAGAACATTAACTTGTCTGTCACTATGAATAATTACTGCAGGACTTCACCCCCCCCTCCATCTTCTAAATATGCACTTAAAAAAAAAAAAAGAGATAATATATTTTGCCCATTTATAAAGTAACCATGAGATTTAGGGAACTTAAAAGGTCAAGTTTAAACTTCCCCCATTATCAACGTAGGACATATTTTATTACTGGACCTCATTTTGTGCAGGAATTAGTACGCCCATAACCACTTCAGTTTATTTTTGTCCATGCCATCTGTATCTAACCTTCAAGCAGTTAGCAGAAGTACAGACGAGGACACCTCAGTAACTCAGCGAGGCGAGTACCAACTCAAGGAAAAGATTCCTATTCACAACTGAAAAGAAATTATGCTCTTCTCAGCTGACAAAGTTTATGTTCAAGGAGATCAGTATTTTCGCTGGAAGAAAACATGGCAAATGAAAACAGAAATCTCCTTTGACTTAAAAGCATAATTCCTGTGTTTCACTTGGACTCAGCCACCAGTGCGTAGTGAGAAGCAGAGGGGGGAATACAACAGCTAACGGATTAGGTGTTGTCACTTATGATCCATCATCACACTTTCTCTGATTATGAAAATGAATCTTTCCAAGCAGTACATTTTATGCTTGACAGAATACAGATCAGTTTACACATTTAAAACTGGTGCACTTCAGTTTTACAAGAGTTCAGGTCTTCCGAGACCATCATTTATTATATGGCTTGACACAAGTCAAGAGGAACATTCAATCAGACAAAGCCACCAACATTTTTAGGCAACTAAATGGGTGAAGTTATGAACTCTTTAACAATCACATCTGCAAGCCTGAATTTAACACTTTTTCCTTGACTATACAAGCTGGCTCAGAAAGGTCATTAGACTATTATACTCACTCTTGTGTAGAACAGCACTATACACATGCAAAGTTTCTATAGCAACACTTTAATTCACTCTTTAAGCAAAACACCAATTAGCTTTTTATTACAGCCAATTAAAAAAAAATCTGCACACTAATTAACAACCTCTCTACTCAGAATTTAAGCTTATGCAAAAGAAATTGCAGTGAAATTTTCTGTGATAATACCTTACTTCCTATTCTTCCTTCTTTACAGAACGGTAAATTATTCTTGATAAGGGCTACATACTTATTTTCAATCTAAAACGTTTAGACCCATAAACATAACGTATCCCGGCATGCCTTAAATCATGGTAGAGCCTGAAGAATACAGCTTTCTGAAAGGCTACAGAAATCTAATCAATGGACACAGGCATATGAGGCGTACGCACCAGGACAGCATGCAGGAGGCAGACAGCAAAAAATTTCTTTTTGGAGTATTTAACTATGATTTACCAAGGCAAAGGGATGACAACTTAAAAAAAATCAATTTCAGTAGGGCAGCAGGGATGTTTTCAATCACTTTTGAATAGTTACTGGCAATTTCCCCACACACACACCATTTTCTACACAGCTGAGGACAACAACTTATTTGTATGATGCTTCAAACAGTATACATAAAGATACATTGCTCAGAATTCAGTCAGTGAGCACATCATAACACATTATACAGAGTACCAGGAGACACTATCAGCAACAAAAGCAGAAGCGTCCTTTAGCAGAATTGTTCCTTGGACAGAACTTCTGCTGTTAGGATCTACCTAACAAATTAATACATCAGGAATGAAAGTAGCACATGGCTACTCTGACAAGCATGGCATGCCCCAGTCGAGACTTACTGGTACCTGAGGTGTTAGCTCTTATGGATGATCTAGAAAAACAACTCCTACTCTCATCATCTCACTCTTACTTACACCATTTGATATTGCACTATTACTATAGAATCTTAAAGCATCTGACAAGTTATTTGAGGGCACAATAGCAGTAACCAAAATCATATCCCTTGCCAGACCGACAGAAAGGAGATTCTTTGAATCCCACTGCTGCAGAGGAGAAAGGGCATTCCCACACATGGAAGAGACAACTGCAGGGCCCACTGCAGCACAAGGCTACCTCCTGAAAAGTCAATAGGGTCTAGAGTACATCAGTGGGCTATGCAGTAGATCTGGTACGAGTGAGGTAAGGGATTAAGGTTAAGCAATACACCTATAGGCTTTTATTCTTGGAAAAGAATAAAAAGTTTAACCTTCAGAGAGATTAACTCCGAAAATACAGCTCCCTGGACCTCCAGAAAATGTCAGCACATTTGAGCTCTGAGCCCTGAAGTGCAATGCTCCCTGCTACCAGATGTACAGCCCTGCCTCCTGCATACACCCTGTGAGTCCAAAACAAGCACGTTTGTGTCACACACAGCATAATTACTAAACAAAACTAACTTGCTCTTTTAGTGAAAACACTTTGAGCATTCCACATCATAACTAGTGTAGCGTAAAGGTTCTGAGTATTCTCCTCTGGTAAATCCCTGCTACCAGCACCTCACCAAGATGGGTGCTCACACTCTTCTTCAATTAAAGAATTTCCTTTTTCTGTCTGAAGGGAAGTGTCATTCATGTCCCAACACAAAATCTGGTGGTCAAAGTAACATAGTAGTGAATACTTGAGAGCATCAGAACAAACAAGTGGGTATTTTCCCTCATTTTCTCATTTTCTAAGCCTTCTGTATTGACATTTCAAGCTATTTAATATTTCAGCAAGTGAGGCCACCCTGACAGTTAAGCATTACACATAGTGTACTTTAGGTGAGAGCAAAGTTCAGAGGCAGCTGGTAATGGAAGATGCAACCCACCTGCAGCAGTTCGGAC